ACACACACACACACACACACACACACACACACACACACACACACACAGGAATATAAAGGCAAGAACTGAAGTTGTTACAATACTTAAAAAACAACTTAGGAGCCTTTCAATTATTAATTCGCGAATACACGGAACCACGTAATGTCTTGCGCTGTCTCACGTGCAGCGAGACACAGACGTGTATTAACCTTACTTATTTAACCATAAGCGAAAAACAAAATAGCGCTGGATCACGTGATTTACTTAGCCAATCAGACCATTCTCTTCAATGTCGCTTCATTATCTATTATAAGAAAAAATGAAAAACCCGTGTAACGCGTGCCTGCGTACACGTGCACGAAATTCCTTTTTTTAATCGTCGCTATTATTGCATCCATTAGTCACGCATTATGGAACTTTTAAGAATAGATTCCTATCAGGATTATTTTGTTTTTTTTTTTTCTAGAAAAAAGCACAATGAAAATCTAAAAAAAAGAACTAAGCAATTTTGATCAGAATCTATTCCGAAAAGTTTCGTAGTAAGAGTCGCTTGTCGAAGGAGTGAAGGGTGATGAACCAACGACGGTCGACTCTCTCTTTCGTTCTGTCTCCATCTCTTCCGGAGCGTTTGTTTGGTTGTGCGTTTAATTTTTTTAAATATATCATTAGATTCGTGAAAATGACAACAAATTAATAGACGGCAATACGAGTCAGGCGCGGTACGTGGTGCGCAAGTAAAGAAATTAATAGTTACAGAAGTAACGAATTACAATGTATATATATATATATATATATATATATATATATATATATATATAAAGTTTCACATACATTTTGACATGATTATATATAACCATATATAAACTTAAATTCGGATTATTCGATAGATGGCATCCGATAGGATTTATTTCTCGTATTTAAAATTTGACAAACAATGGTATAAGAATGGTATCAAGAGACACGGCAGTATCTCACGCCAAGCAGCGCCAAGTTATATGTAAATCATTTCACTTTTGATTCTGGCTTTTGAAAAAAATATACACTTAATTTATCAATGCTTTATTCCTTAATCGAAGTTAACAGAATTTTTTTTTAATATATATAAAATATTTATTATGTTAGATATAATCACATATAATTATATATAAAATCGACATTAGATATAATTAGATATAATTAGATATAACCACATACAATTATATATAACCACTAGCTGGTTCGCCCGGGAGTCGTTTTTCTTCAAACGACTTCATTTGTGTTTTAATATCCTTAATCGAAAAAAATTCCTTTATCAGTTCGGATACCAATTCTCAAAAAGATCGGTAACAAAAAACTATACAGTTTATGGCACTCCATGGGAAATTCTACCCTTATTTTGTATACAATTTTTTAAGATTTGGTCAATTATTTCCCGAAAAATTGGAAAAATTTTGGATACCGGTTCTCAAAAAGATCGGTAACGAAAAACTATACACTCTATAACACTCCCCGGAAAATTCTACCCTTATTATATACTTTTGGTAAAAATTTGGTCGAATAGTTTAAGAATGTATAAAGAACATACATATATACAGACATTCTATTTTATATATAAAGATATATGGTTATATAATTATATGTGTTTATATATAATTATATACAATTATATCGGGCCATTTTTTATATCTAATTATATCTAATGTCGATTTTATATAATCATATGTGATTATATCTAATCATTTTTTCTCGGGTATTAACCTAGGGTTAATTCTACATCTTCGTGTTTAGTATTTTCCGCGATATTTTATGAAATGAGATCGTTTAACGAATTCCAGTTGCACCGAATGCAGCATCCCGCTGCATGAGTTTTGTGGGGACTTCCATACTCTTATTAAAAAGTCTCAAATTTATTATACAAATAATAATAAAATTATCGTTTCCTTTCATGGATTATTAAGCAAGAGAAAGAGCAAGACTTAGTTTTTATTATATTATTACACATTTTTTCTAATCATATTTTATAGAACTATGGGTTGTCTATTATCTATCTTAAATAAATTGTAAACCATGTCCATGACACTTTGTTCTTCTGCAGGATCATGGGTTATATTTTTTTTTATTACCGCTGACTTTATATATTGAATATTTATCATTTCTTAAGTTTTGACCTATACGTTTTAAATTTATTTTATTTTTACCAATGTTTATTTTTACCAACGTTTGACTTAAGCCATTCCCGACTATCTATTTTATGTATTTATTATCGCTTACTTTTTATTATTTATTATCTCTTACGTTTTGACCTACACGTTTTTTAATTTATTTTTGCCAACGCTTGACATAAGACTCGCCCCTGCCTGCTTTACGGAATCATTTTTGTGTTGTGCGTCGTGTCGACAGGATCTCCTCGTACAGATCTCTTTGTACAGATCATTTCTTTGCCATATGTTCATACCATTTTTATTTGACTCTACGATGTATTCGTTCTCCAGACTACTTGGTGAGTTATTTTAGAATTCTAATTAAGACAAGGATATAACTCCTTAATTACTTTACAGATTTGGACCTTGTAGTCTCACTAAGTTTCTGTAAAACTTGGAAACAGTAAACTCACCGTGTTGTTAAGGAGAACATTTTATTATTGTTGTTAACATTATACCACTGAAGATGGCTCGGACAGGAGCCGAAACGTTTGGAATTTTGGATTTTGAGAAATAAATCATTATAATATTTAAACGCATCTTGATCCGCGTGTGACCCTTACAGCCTCTTCCAATCTATATTTATAGAACTGTCTTTGGTGTGTTACGATCAACTTCTTCTAGCGAGAATATATATTTTTTAATATTATTAATTGAAATTTTAGCGAGCCCAAGGCCCCGAGTCGATCTTCATAATGTCGATCTTGCCGCCTTTTTCATCTCAGGTGGTCGGAGGTGAACCGGCACCGGAAGGTGCTTACCCGTACATAGTTTCCCTTCACGCATACTCCCAGCACTTCTGCGCCGGATCCATTTTGAACGAGCGCTGGATCATAACTGCAGCAAATAAAAGGAGTACGTCGATCGCGATGTTTGTCACAAATCCGTCGTGCGCTTGATTGGATCTTCTCCCATTAATGAAACCAATGTTTGCACTGGGCCATTGTACGATAAAATCTCCGCATGCAGTGTAAGTTCCAGACGTTCAATAAATTTAGTAAATTACCATAGCAGAGTAACGTCGCCTATTAACATGGCGATTTATCAAAATCTTTAATACCAATTTTAGGGTAAATCTTTATGTAGCATCTTGATAAAATAACTTGTCGTCTAATTAATATGTAAAGGCATATGTGATTTTTTATTAAATTTTAAGTTAAAATTAAATGTCATTGTTTTTTTTTTTAAATCTGTTTTTATTGATGGATCTTTAAAAATAAATTTAAACAATTAAAAATAAGTGCATAATGAAAAATTTATTATGTACTAAAAATATAATAAAACATAAAAGACAGCAAAATATGGCTAAGTAATTTTTTCCTTATTTGTATTTTACCACCAATTTCACTTTGTGTTAGCCGGTAACAATTTACCCGTACATGATCCAAAACCGACCTTATAGCCATCGCCAACACAATGACCTGGAAATAAATTAATCGTATGTAATTGCATTAGTAAATTGTTATATAATTTTAGCTATGTGTTAAATTTATTTATTTACCGCGAATAATCACTTCATCACCATCTTGAAGAAATTTTCTTGTAGTACCATCTTTTAACGGAATGGTATGTGTGCCTTTCCAACATAATTCCAGCATAGACCCATAAGAATCTGAAGTCTAAATGAATATTTTATATCAAAGTTGCATGGTAAAATCATAATTTACGTAATTTTAAAGAAATAAATGTCACAAAAGAAATAAGATATGACAAAAATTAATTTAATATATCAACTGTGCTAATAATGTTAATTAAAGTAATAATGATCAGATTACAAACGCACGGTGCCACTTATAGTGCCGGAACCCATTAAATCACCAGGATTAATGTTGCATCCAGTGACAGTATGATGTGCTAATTGCTGTCGTGGAGTCCAATACATGTATTTGAAATTACTCCGGCATATCGTTGTGACTACACCACTTGGAGCTGTAAAAAGATAAGAATCATATACAATTAAAAAACTGTACAAACAATATGTACAAGTATATAAATGACTATTATGAAAAAAGTATTAAAAAATGTCAACTCACGTTTAAGATCAACTTCCAATTTAATGTCAAAGTTACAAGACTCATCATGTTGCAAATACGGGAATGGTTCTGGATCTTGAGTCATATTTGGTATTTTGAAGGGCTCTAGAGCTTCCATCGTAACGATCCATGGAGAAATTGTAGTTCCCAAATTTTTTGAGCCGAATGGCCCTAATGGGACGTATTCCCACTTTTGGATATCTCGTGCTACAAAATAAAAAAAAATTTTTTAAAGTCAGAAGCATAATAATACACATTTAAATTAATTAAAGCGTAAATTTTTTCAATTATATCGTACCGCTCCAATCATTCATCAAGACCATCCCAAAGATATGATCATGTGCCTTCGAGGCTGGAACAGTATCACCAAGATTTGTGGATGGTCCACCGACGAAGAAAGCAACTTCAAGCTCGAAATCCATTAATCTGCTTGGCCCAAAAACAGGTGCTGCACCTTCAACCGGAAGTGTTTGACCACACGGTCGTCTTATGGGTGTGCCTGACACAACAACGGAACTTGCTCTTCCGTGATAGCCAACCGGCAAATATTTCCTATTTTATATAGAAACATTTTATTTCTACAGTTTCTAAAGTACACGGATATAATAATTTATTAGGAATTTTACCAATTCGGCATCAGCGGATTTTCTTTCCCACGAAACATGATGCCGACGTTTGTAGCATGATTGATAGATGAATAAAAATCTGTGTAATCACCAATCTTTGCTGGTAAATGCATTATAGCATCTTTCTGGGCGACGAAAATTCTATGAAAGATGTTACAAAAATTATAATAAGATTTTTAAAGATTTATGAATTTATAATATTAATTTTTGTTTATTGATTTCTCACTTAGAGCGGACTTCCGGATCTTGCAAAGTATGATTACTGGCAGAAAGTAGCTCTTGAAGTTTCGATCTTGCTTCTAGCCATGCTGGTCTTCCGAGTGACATAAAATCGTTCAGGCAATCACGACAAAATACATCCTGTTTACTTTGCAACAGTGGTCCATCGAAATAATTTGCAATAGCATTTAAATTTAAAATTTTATCACCAATTGCCACTCCTATTCTTTTCTCTGGCTGAAATATTTTAAATAAATATTATCTATATTATCTATATTCTCTATATTCTCTATACTATATTATATATAATATCGTATAGTAGAGAGCTATTATATAAACAAATTAGTAAAAAGTAAAATATTGCTATAACTCTTGTATTTTAGGCAGATCTAATAAATTATATTTTAAATAAATATTATATCTATATTATGTCTATTTTATATATAAATACTATAGTTATTATATAAACAAATTAACGAAACATTGCTGTAACTCTTTTATTGGAATTTAAGAAGACAAAGTGAAAATTACATTATCGAACGACAGTAATGTACCAACCGATGATACTGAAATAAAATCGCTACTAGACGGCGTTGAATGTGATATGATAACATTCCATTCTTTACACATATCATGTTATGAAAAAATATACAATTTATGCTTAATATTACGCAATTTTGCCAATACTTTCAAAGATATTACAAAAATCCACAAAAGATTATTATATTTTATCACCAGATAACTCACGATTTCCTAAATGCCAATGGAGTTGAAAATGCGTAGTTATATATCTGTATATAATTGCCTTGAAATCACATGACGTGGCATGATTTATACACGATCTACAAATGTAATTTAATTTTCCTTACCTTATCTTTGGTAGAGAAGATTCCATACGGCAAATTTTCGATCGGGAATTTACTAGATGCCGAGTAATTGATGAAAGATTTCATGGTTACAGCTGCTACGAACGACTGCCTGGTCGGTTTCTGTCGCATGTGCTAGTAACGACGATCTGATAACTAGCGTTCGAGATCCCACCGAACTCGACTGGGAAGTAATTTATACACCTGTTTACGACGCTCGACGCCGGCGAGCCTCTGGTTTAACTAGTTCCGTACATTAATGCAACGAAAATCATTCTAGCGGCTGTTTTATTTTGCCTTGAATGTTGATCAGTTGAACTTGTTATGTATATAGAGGCAAAACAGTTATTGTTACGTAACATGTATGCCCCAGCTCACTCTCATTTTCTTTGATTGATAAAATCTTCGATATCAAATTGGAGTAAAGTTTTTAACGTCTAATTATTTTTTAAATTATAGAGAATTTTTACACAAAATTTATATAGTGCCAATATATTTTGCATTTAATCTTTACGTCAAAACAAATCGTTTTTTAAAAAAGAAGAAAATAGAAACGAGAAATTTATACGAGTTACGTATTGATAATTTGGGATAACAGCAGTTTATTAGACATTGATATACAGTGGATAATAAGGGCAATTAGGTGTAGGCGGTATTCGAACAACATAGTTATGTGCCAGCAAACATCATCTCTACATCGTCGCACATACTCTTGACTTTCGCTTCTCGTTCACATATCAACGACACATCTTACGCACACGCATGTACATAGATATTTTTTCTATATATATATATGTATATATATAAATGTATTTCTCATTACAGTATACAAGGACAGCTTTCTCCTCGAAAGTACTTCGAGGTTTCCTCGCTAAACACTAATCAATACTCTCATCGTTTGGAAGACGTGGGACTTTGTTGTTGTTTTACTTCGTTACCAACTTAGACTAATAATTAGACTAATAATTAATGAGATCAACGACTTCTAAAGTCGGCGCGATAAATCGCCAGCAAAGGAACTTAGTTACATTTAATAATGATTATCAGAATGACATGATATTCTACCTCGTTAACACAATCGTGTAATCGTAAAAGATTTATTCGATTACATATATACGTATTTCTCGTCGATGTAGACTGTCGAAGATAGACAAACGGACTAGCAAATATTATTAGTCCAATATTTTATAAACGTAATATGATGATTAAGATCTAACGTATACAATACAACATATATTATAAGAGCAGAGTGCAGGAAATGGCATATGATAAGAGTGTGCATTATACAAAATTGTGCAGTGCGTTAAAAAAATGTGCATAATATTTAAATACATGTTATATACATAACATTATACAAGAAAATTAAGTATAGTTTATTTTGAAAGAAGTTTAGTTTAAAAGAAAAGTTTAGATTTAAAATTTTATATCGCGCCAACAATATGCAAAATATTCGCACGTATTAAAATGGCTTTATATACAAAATTTATAACATTCTCTAATTATCTACAAAAAAATCAATATAACACTTGCAATTCTAAATTGTAGTTGTACAAGTTGTATAATTTATCTAATAAATTGGTACTTTAATACTTTACTATATTAATACTATTTACTAATATCCATTACATTGGCCGCATAAATGTGCTAAGATGTTTTACACATCCCGAAGAAAAATGTGCGGTATCAAACACATTAATATATCTGCTAATTATATGTAAGCAAATAAAATAATCGGGAGTCTACAGGGACGAGTATACTTTCCGTACAAATATATCACTCTTTGCTTAAAAAACGATCATTTACACGGGAATTAAGAGACGTGTGTAATCACGAGAGAGAGAGATTCGTTTATGAGTAGCATTGATTACTATGTCGGCAGTGCCAACGACTATGTCTAAAAAAACTCGCAACGCTGATAGAATTATGAATAATAGTTAACAGTGATTCGATAGAGTTCTTCTTTACAGGTATCGGTTTGCTGGTCAGATGAATAGTTTAATTCATTTTCTTCTCGAAAAATACATTTTGTCCCTTTTCTTTGGCGCACAATGATTGCAAATGAATTGCTTGAACTCTGAATCAAAATACAAATACAATCTAATCTCGTAAACGGTATCTCAAATTGTGTGGCAATATTAACTGTAACTGCTTTAAAAACGGTTTTATAAAAACTTTGATATTTTTATATGCAATAATAAATTTATTGTCTTAAAAAAATGTTTATAATATTTATATATCTTTATTTTAAATGAATTACTATGAGAATTTTTATTAAAATGGCTTTTTATGTAAAAGTACAGATAAAGGAAAATATATTCTAAAGAGAAAAATAGATTCTTTTATTTTTCCTCTTACTTTAAAACTGTGAACATACTTTAATGAATTATTTTCCTTAATAAATTTTGGCTTTATTTGTCTCATTGAAGCAGAGTTCAGCATATATATAATGCGCTTCATATTTTACACATTACAAACGTTTCAAATTGAATTGACACCACCCGCTATAATCCATCAGCCAAGAGTTTTTATTTAAGTATGTAGAATTAACATCTTTGGCATTAAATTACAGGTATCAGGACATATCGATTGCTTTCTACTTCGATTAATCCTGTATTAATTTAATCCCGGCACTAATTGCGGTTCCCCATCTAAATATATTCGTTTAAACTTAAGCTAATTGTCACGGCACAGCAATCGTCGTCGGCAGAAAAAGAAACGCGGTACAATCACGGGATAATCCAAAGATGTATGTGTGTTGTGTACATAAATACACTTATAATTCTTGTATAATTATATCTAGATATTCCATATTACTTACTTTAAATACCTTTTTCTGTTACTCCATATTGGCGAGTGAATCGAAATCTATAGAATTGTTCTATTGCAAGTGTCGAACAAATCGAAACGCTTGTCGTCATTCGTAATAATAAGTTCACTGTGTTTGTAATGCATATTATGTAGTTATTTATATAATATGAAATAATGATCAAAAACATATATAAGAGGAATTGAGTTAATAATTAATACGTAATGTAAATATCAGGAAATTACAGAAGTATACTTTCTCGAAAATTAATATGAGAATATTGAAAATGATTATTGCATCACACAATTCTTTGTGGCGTGCAATCATTACTTTCAATAATGCGTTTATGGCGTTTGAATAAAACGATTGATTTCTAACAGAATTGAGAAACTAATTATTATAAGTAGCAACCGTTTGCACGAATATTCGAAAAAGCATGTACTTTCATGGGTTTGTGTTTTGTATTCTTAAAATTTCAACACTAAATATATATAATATATGCTTTGATATATTTATATATTTATACTTTTTTTATATATCTATATTAAATATATATTAGTACTCTCCTTTCGATTAGAACTGTTTAACAGTAAATTATAATATATTTTTGTATATATAATAGATGAAGTCCATCTCGTAACATTATCTTCGCAAACAATCGATAAATTATAAACTCCGTTAATATTCCAACAGAATAACGCTCGGTGTTAAATCTATTTTCTATGGAAAGTAATGTCGCATTTGTGCTATCTATCCCTAATGCTACGGCGATAGAAATGTTCTATTCCCGTAGCTAATGGCTGACGATTCGTTGCAAATCGTACAATGGGGACAGAGTACCACTTAAGCTCCGACAGATTAGCCGTAGCGCTTACAATTTACATTCTAAATGGATTTTTACACTGCCCGAAAACAGAGTTGCTTTCGTTCCAGCGTATTATGGACAAATTGCAGATTCTGATAAAATCTAATTAAATTCGATAAATTACGATTTTTATTTGCGTGGGAATTAATTTTTGCATGACTTTAATTAATTTTGCATAATTTTTAACAAATTTGTCAAACAATTTTAACTATATAACTATTTAATTAACTATGTAATTAAATAATTAAAACTATTAAGAATTTCAGAAATATTTGAAATGTCTGATAATCAGTGGACAAAAAGAAAGGCTAATAAGAGCATAAGACGCAGTAAATGGTGCATAGAATCTTCAAATAAACTGTACAAAAATTGTTAACAAATTAAATATATTTAATTTAACGTATTTATAAATATAAAATATTCGCAAAAAAAAAACATTTTTTTATAAATTCAAAGAACCATTTGTAACTTTATACCTAAATCTTTCAAAACCAATTTTGATATATTACTTGCAAAAGTAGTATATACATTAAAAACAAGTTTTTGATATAAATTTTGAACAACGATAACCTAATCCGCGTTTTGAGAATAAAAAAAATTTTTTAGATGTTTTATTTGAAAAGCGAATGTACACTATTATTGCTTCGATTAATGATTGATCATTTTATCACTTGCATAAATATTATCGTGCGTGCATCAAAAGCAGCAAAAAATAACAAATCTGCATAGCTTACGGCCGGAAGCATCATTAACTTTGTAATTTGATTTCATAACTTCGTTTCTTGGATATGCCGTGTATTTCGTTAAATCTAGAAAACTTATATACTACATATATTTTTCGACGTGCAGGTCGCTGCTGCAAACTGGTCGCGAGATAAAGAAGCATTTAACTACACATCGACCCTTCACTAATATCATTTTCGTTCAATAATGAGAAGTAAGTTCAAATTATTTTCCTGGTGTACCAATAAATTATATAGTGTATTATCGATTCATCCATATTTTATAAAACATGTTATGGAACGACGAATGAATGGTTATACAGGCACAAAATGCGTAATAGTCTAAAGTATACCACGGGAAATGTTTCCTTTGCTCAGTCTAATAAAAATTTAAATACTAAATAAATTAGAAATTAATTAGAAATTGTGACGTCATTTTGGCGGAAAATTAGAAAATATAAAACCGGGGATAAAGTCGATATTTGTGTTATATCTGCAATCGTAACATTAAAACCGCCTATTTTATCGTATTGTCTTACGTTCGTATTGGTGGTTCTGAATTTTGTGACCTGAGTCTCGAATTTATAATTTTTTCTAAAACGTGTCGCGAAAAATGCACTGAGATAAAATCACGAATCACGCGGTTTTGCCAATGGTGGTTGTGCCAGTCAGCTAATCGCTGCACATCGTATCAATTAATGCCTATGTGTGGACAGATTTCTTACAAGTCATGGCCGAGTCGATCCATCTCAGCCAGAAGAAAATCGACGTCGGCCTCCGTTACAGCGGCACTGGAAATGATATTCCTGAAGAAGTTGGGCCGTCGATCGTCCGGCTGGTAACCAACCATCAGCGTGCCGGATTGCATCATGCGACCTTTCAGAATTGGACATATCTAGAAGCATAAACAGTGTGTTCTCTCTTATTCTAAAACTTCTCCTTTGAAAGAGATTTCTAAAGCTTTTCTATAATGTTAATGAAATTGACTAAATTAGTTGTTTGTGTATTTCGTATGTCCTTAAATTTATCAAACGCACCTCGGCTAAGATTTTTATTCTCTCCGCGGTATGTGGCATGTTCCGCACGCGCGTAGGCAGATACCAAAAACAGACGTTGACCAATTCAGGTTCGAGAATCAGGTAATACTTGTCGGGCATTTGTTTAATCCTTCTAACCATGTACTCCGCCAGCTCCATCAGCCGATCCATGTGCTTCTCGAAACCTTCCGTTCCCTAATAATGAAATGAAATTCATCCCTTCAGTTTAAATCACTGTGGTAGCGCAGCCTTTGCGTGGCTGAAGAGAATGCCGAGTCGACGCGTGTAATGAGAAAGCGTAAAATCGGCTTTCTGTAACAATGCCAATGGATTTTGTACCTTGGCGCGCCATTGCAGCCAAAGCTTGAAAATGTCGTTGTGACGGCCGCATTGAATGACCTTATCGCCAGTGTCGTACCTCACGTCGTACAGCTTGTCAGTCATAAACAGGTATTCCGCGGACATTTGGTTACAGCTGATCAGTAGCCCCTGCAAAATGGAAACAGCTCTCGCTTTCAAAACAGACGAGAGACGAGGGTGCCTGCAACATTTTTCCGATAACGGAGCGTTTCCGGAATTGTTTCGCATGGTTTACGATTGACAGGCCGCCGGTGGAGGAAGAGGGCGAGTCCGTCTGGATCGATACGACGCTCCAACACATGCGCGTGAGAGGAGGAATACTCAGGATATTGAATTTACAAAATGGCGGATATGCCGCACCGATGTTGTACTCCATTATTGGCCACCATTGTTTCAGACATGATTATTTCTCTTAGTCGCTTTCCCGAAGTTTATTATATTTAAATAATGTTCTACATCGTGTAGAAAACTTTACGTAACGTTGATTTACATAACTAGCGAATACTTTCGTATTTTCAAGCTAGGGAAGGGATTCTGTAGTTCCACGTTTATGCATTTTTGTTATTATCACTGTCTTTCAACGTTAATACTGACAATCAGTGGAAAATGAGTATTAAATTGTTGTAACCACACATAGATATATTTAAAAAATTAATACTTTCACATGTCCGACTTGTAGATCTGTATTATTAGATAAAGCAACATGATTGTCAATGTTAACGAAGCATCCCTTGTGGACACCGCGCTTCAACGTCAACGGCATCCGACAAAAGCATGGCGCGGCGCGCGGCGCGTTCTCCCCCGGATATCTCGCGGCAGCCGGTGCACGGAATTTTAATATCCGAAGGGGAAGTTCGGAGTTAGCAATAACTGAGTCGCGCGTGGGGGGATAGACCCTCCCCGGCGGCGCGCTGTAGACGGACGGCAACATATGTTATCTCTTAGTTTAATTAAATTCCTGTAGTGCCGAGCACCCCGGCACGTAGGTCTACCCCTCGGAATGCGACTAGTGTTGTCTCGTTGCCCTTGCGCGATGCAGGAATTTCAGTACGCTCGGAAACAGGGAGGATTTCTAAGAGTGCAACGTCTTGAACGCGTCGTGGATGCAACGTCGATAGTTATTCGTGGGGAGTTATTATTTTATTTTTCAACGTTTTGTGAATTGTGTCAAAGTAAAAAATTAAAGGAGAAAGGAATAAGATAATGGAAATCGGAAATATAAACGCTTTGAACAAGAAGATACTAGTGATAATATTTTTTGATATAATATTTCCTGTTAAATTATATGGCTGATAATAATTATTTTTGTAATTTAAAAGATTCTTTCATATTAGTGGAAATACTATCTAATTAATAACGTTTAATTTCATAACTTACGTCTTCCTTAAAGTGGATACTGGAACATTGAAGCAAGGCTCCCATAAGTTTATGTGGGTTCCATGTTACTGAATCAGCTCTGAAAAATCATACATTGGAATTTCATAAAAACTTTTCTTCGATAGATAATTTTTTATTATTTTGAGAGATAATGAAATTTACGCGATTTGTTGAGATAATGAAATTTACTCCAGAATTAGAAGTACTATCAGATTTGTTGTAAATATAGCAAGTTTAATTCTATGCTAATTGTAAGAAGAACTTACTTCAATTTTATCTCATTAATAGGAAAGGTCTCTGTGATAACAAAGTATATCAAATAAGCCGTACATTTTACGAATAGTGTGTAGACAATTATTCTTTTTTCGCCTTATCAGCAACCTGTCGAAGCGAGTCTTCGCCGAGCTGACTGAAAAAGCCAGCCGACCTCAGCTGGTCGTCAAACTCTTATCCACTCCCACGGGAACCAATAGGGGATAAAATATGAGTTATCTTCCCGCCGTGCCCACGGAAGGGGGGTCTATCAATTCGAGAGGAGAGCTATTAATACAGCCACGGGACCGGATTTAACCCCCTGGTCCTCGGAGACCCACTCCGGCGGTAAAAACCTCTAACCCTTCTTAATCCTTGAAAAAGCATTGTGATATGTGAAAATCTACATTCACATTCCTCGACCCAAATTTGTTTTAGGTATTTTAGCGGTTAGTGGTGCACAAAATTATTGGAGCAAAAAGGAGTAAATCTGATAAAATACAGTAAATAATAAAACGAAGTGTTGCAACAAATAGTATTTGTTACCAATATTAGGCATAGATAAAATTATAGGATTTAGAACAAATTGAAAATAGTACACGTCATTTTTGAAAAACTTTTTATAAAACTTAGCTTTAAGCGCGTAAGTTGCGTGCGCTTTATGATAAATATTTGATACTTGGCAAGTGACATGTTTATCGCGATGCCGCGCCGCCGGTCCCGCGTGTTGGCTGAACATCCTGCGGATGATACGAGGGTACTCTTGAAGCACCCTCGAAGCGCGATTCGTGTCGTTAGCAGACACTGTCCATTATTCACTCGTATGCATCCTTCTTCATGTTACAGATCGACATATCTATTTGTTTAATTCTAACAAATATTCGATCTCGTGTGTAATATTTTCTCTTACACAATAATTTACGTTAACGTTCGTTTCTTAATTATTTATCTTTATCTTTCGTTACTCTTTAAAGCAAATTTATAATTATTTATATTTTTACTATTATATCAAATTTGGTAAGCAAAATGAATATTATAAAATATTATTTATTTTAAACTTGAATAAACGTTAACGTTTAAATTTTAAAGATTCTTTTACAAGTAAAACATTAACTTTAAAAAATAATTGCACGTATTGGTTTGAATTATTTTGTAATTAATCATTACTTATAATTATAATATACTAGTAATAAATTAAAATTAGAACAGCAACTTGCGTTGCACTTTTTTACATGAAAATGACTATAAACTTTTTACAATAAATTTACGAGTATCAATTTAGTGGAAGAGAAATGTCAGATAGAAAATTTTTTCTTCGCATAAGACACACAGATCACTTGAGAAGTGTGTATAAAGCTCGAGTGATTAATGCGATTCGCAGCTGAAGCTGGCGCACACGGCACCCTTCCATTCGCTTTTAAATTCATCCAAGGTGCCAACCCCAAAAGCCGCTCGATATATATTACAAGGGATGTTAATTACCCGCACCCTTAGCGTAATGTGCGTGCACTATGTGCGGAAGTTCTATGTTCGGTAGCGCGAGAATTACGCTTCCGACTCGGTAATGATCAAAGGAAGATGTTAACAGAAGTTAATTTCTATCGGCACCACAGTATATTCTTGTAACGCGAGAACGAAGATAAAAATACAAAAGTTTTATGAAAATAAAAGTCAGACATTTTCTTCAGAAAGTAACAATTTCAAAAAGTAAAGATCATAAGATATTTCTGTAATGACGAGGATTAAATAATAATTAAACTTCCTCGAGAGATTAATGAGAAACTAGGAACTTGTAATTAAGAACTTGGAGCTGACTTGAAGGAAGTTGAGCAGGTGGTCCGATTTCTATTCTTAACCAATGGCTTGAAACGTAAACCTCGAACTTTGAGCTTTACGTACACCCGCAACTCTCTCTCCGACCTGCCTCTTTAAGTCCGATCATTTCAACTTTATCGTGAAGGTGAAATCATGGTTCTTTCTCAATTCTACGCAATCTAGGACGCGGGTGCGAAGGGGACAGTGGGGGAGGAATGAGGACCGACCGGAGAACGAGGGAAGCAGTTCTCTTTGTACGAGTTTAATCCGGCATTGTCAAGGCACGGGCTTTTATTTCAGGCTCGCGGAGGAAGACACGGTGGTGGCACGGCGCCGCGGCGCGTCGATATAAGAGGAGAATTCTGTTCTGCAAATGTGCTCCAGGGAACTGATCCAGCTGTTGCTCATGCGTCGGATCTTTCTATGCGCGCCTTTCGTTTGCCATTTTAATCAAGACTTCCAGGAAGGAAGTTCCCGTCGCGGTACAGTCCACACAGAAAAATCGCGGATTCGTGCATTTGCGAAACAGCTCGGATTCGACTTGACGAAGAAAAGGAAATTCGTAATTGTGATGGTCTCTAAATCGTATAGATATTTGTAATAAAATATACACGGTGAAAAGTTTTGTAAATATAAAAAATCGTTTTGATTACGTAAATGTTAATTAAGAAATGTCATCTCCATTATAATGTTATTATACCTTAACACATATAAGATACATTATCTTATCAACATTATTGGAAAATACTGATGGTATATACTCTGATAGACGGATTGCTATTTTTTTTTGTACATAAATCATCCCCGAGAGACTTCTCGCACCGATTTTCAGGTCAGGGATTGTCTGAATCTAGGGAGCAGATGCGTCTGGATGCAAATCGTGGATTAATCTCGCCAACCCCATGCATGTCTCGTCCGTACCCCTGACCCCTATCACACAGCTCGAAGGGTTCCGTTGAGTTCGTGTCCACAAATATACAATCAGAAATTGCGCATATTCTCTGCGCTTTTTGTAGATATAATTCGCATTTGATTTTGTATATTGAAAAATCCAATTGGGCGCCGTATTCTGTCTTTTCCACTATTTTTAATATTACAGTTAACAATAAATCTAAAATTAAATTTCAGTGAAAAATCTTTTTATCCATTTATAATGTAAAAATATATATTATAATTTTTGATATGATAAAGGTATTTCTAATGCAAGAAATTATAGGGCAATCTGACGCCAGCCCCTCGTAGCATCCTAATCGCGGTTTATGCGAGCAATACATTACGGGCTGACTGCCTTCGACCATTCTCATGTAAAATTATTTGCAGCGCCCGACGTTCGAATCACAACTACGTCAAAAGGAACGTATCGATTTTATCCCACATATGCGATGTGCATCGGGTTGGAGGCGTTTTTTCAAAGAAGTCCATTATAACTAAGCCCAACTAAGCCTCAATAAACTATAAAATGTGTGGATTGGATCTCCCCTACACATCGAACGGTATACGCGCTATATTCAGCTTTAGTTGCAGAAGTAAATAGAATTTCAAATAACGCGATAAACAAATAAAACATTATAAAAATAAAGAAACATAGAAAAAGATAACAGTATTTGATCTCAAAATATGGCGACAAATTATAAAATAGTTTAATTAAAAACTTATTGATTTTATATGTTCTTTTTTACCACGGTTCAACTTTTGTATAGGTATAAATCAAAATAAATTTTTACTACTTAATTTAGCACTTACCGTTCGATGCCGGTCAGTCTCGGATGCCTGTACTTTTTCGACAGAAGCAGTCCACCACCCCAAGCCGCCTATAAACGAAATAAATGATTATTCGATGATGGATCTCTCTCTCGAATACACGATGATGGAATGCAAAAAATTAACATGAGAGACATGCGATCAAAATGTGAGATTTCTTTAAGCACTTCTTAATCTGACTTATAGATCCGGTATTTTCCGAATTCGCCCCGCTATTCGCTCGCGAATGTAGTACTGGTGGAACCTCTGCCGCTTCCCACATTTATTATTTACGTTAAGGTTCTTACGTGTTTGGCATTTACAGCTTAAATCGTATTTGGATGGCTTGATTGCATAAGCGCATCTAGTTTGAAACGGTATACTGCTTAAATAGGCCTTTGAAGCTATTCGATTAAATAAATATCTTCTCTCTTTTAATATTTACTATATTTGTTACTTTATATAGTTATTATTAAGTGGATATAATATGTAATGCAAAATTAATCGATAATTAATATATATCTTTTCTTTTTGATCAATATCGAGAAAAATTTATTTAATTGGGAATAATTATTATTTTATTTTACGTTGTATAAATATTAAAATGTTCCAACAAATGTTATTTAAATTTATGTATTTGATATACACTTGAACACAGACGTTTATAAATACAATATATTATTTATAATGTATATATTTAATTTTTTCTCGAGAAGTATTACTTACGTCGACATGCAGCCACAGATTGTACTTTTTACAGATATCAGCGACTTCCGGGATCGGATCGAATGCACCAATAACCGTTGTTCCCGCAGTGGCATTCACGAAGAACGGTATGTGACCTTTGGCCTTGCGCTCCAGGATCAATTCCTCCAGTTTCGAGGGAATAATGCGACCGCGCTCGTCGCTAGGCACCATCACGCAATTATCCGTACCGAGGCCGCAAACGGACGCGCATGATTTCACAGAATAATGGCACTGCGGGCATTAATGATCCACACTAATGATAAACAACCTAATCAATTTCCTCTCATGAATGCGTATGAAACTTTAATCAATCTATTTGAAACTTATGTAATTTTAATAATTAGTTTCAATCAAAAAAGTATTTATAATTTTATTGCTTAATATTTTTTTACGTGATATATTATGATTTCATTATAACTATTCAATTTTTCTGCAATTTTCCGCTAACGGTTTTTAAAAGTTGAATTTTGTCAAATAAAAGAAAAGTTTTAAAAATATAGAAATAGTGAGTAGTTTAATTAAATTCAAACGCGAACCTGGTCGGACGTAAACATAACCAGCTGTCCTCCGATAGCAGAGAGTCCTTTTTCTTTGTAGTACGGGAACATCTTGTGTCTGGCCGCGAGAAAGGCGTAAAGATTGCTAATAGATCCTCCTGGTGCGAGAATGGAATCACCGCAGTTCCAGCCTATAAGCTCGCGCATTTTTTGTAGAACAACATGCTCCATTAGAATGAATACGGGCGCGATCTCGTAGGTAAACATATTCGTGTTTGCCGTCGCAGTTAGCCACTCGCCAGCCATAGACACTAAATCGAGACCGCATGATAGTTGATTGAAGAAACGTGGGTGTCCTAAAAACAAGAGGAAGGAATTTCCTCAGAGAAAAATCGCAATCTAATCCCATATAATTTGACTAAAATTTCGCTAAAGTGCGTATCCTTGTCGAAAATTATGCAAAGGTGGTGGAAAAATTAATTACCGCACGTTGGCGATAAATCACACTGCAGTGATTGTTGACAAGTGGCTCTTAACAGGAAAGTAATTAATAACGTTGACGTGGCACGTGTCCGAGTACTATTACATTTACACGCGGCCTTGTAATGTCGCGTAAAGTTAAAGGCACGCAAGAGAAAAGGCGCGGCAAGAGAGAGATTTAAGCTCTTCCCGAGTACGTTGTCATCCGCTCGGCTGAACATCGCGCGAGGATCAGGCCTAATGCTTCTATTCGATGGGAGCGCAGCCTTCTGATGCAACTAGGGGAGCGAGTACTTAATTTTCTCTCTCTTTCTAAATTTCTCTTCTCTTTCATAAATGCCTAAGCATTTCAGCCTTCTAATCCGCTATTTGCGCTCCGCGTTAAGCTCACTTAGTTTAAATTAATATTAGAAAAAGACATTTGTAAAAAGAAAGAAAGTGCAAAGAAGTGCTATAAATTATAGTATAAAGAAGAAAAGGATGACTGATCAAAATTTTTAAAAACGTTTTCTCGTGTTTTCTCCCATGTTTCATCCGGGAACAATCAATGGAACGTACAAACATCATAGGACCCTATAAAAGAACCCTGCGAGCACTATCACCTTTTTGGGATAGCATAAATCTCTTGATCCTTGAAATATGATGGATTTACTTCGTTGAATATCCGGTATCGAAAAGACTTTGACCTTTGTGTGATCGATTATCTTATGCTTTACCGCACGACGCACGGATGCTGATATATCAAAGGTGCATTGCATAAAAATAAAGAGAGGCTTAAATATCTCAAATTTATATGAAAAGTCTAACATCTAAAATTTATTCAGACAGAACGTATGTTCATACCTAACGGAATTTTTTACACTAACGATATTAATTCGAGTTTACGGCAAATTGTATTAAGTACACGCTATTAATCTATTTGATAGTACATACATATACACTTTAATCTTCTGGTTTTACGGAATGATTGACACACGGCATCACGAACTACGGACATTCCCCTTCACCGACGGCAACAGCCTGGGATTCGACGCGTGGTAAAGTCGAACCGACGTTAAAGGTCTAGAAGGATAATCTCCGATTCTTGTCGGAGGATTCTCTTCACGAACGCGGACCACGTATTTCCATTAAAGGGATTCTATTAGTGGAAAACGATTATGCATAAAATGATAGTCAATATATTCTTTAAAAAGAATTTTTATTATCACGATAATTACGGCTATAAATCGGAACAAACGATATTCTTCTACTTATCAAATATGCCTTATAACATGCTATATATTCTTTATACTATCTGTAATACGCAGTTTATATTCCATCTGCTCTGAAAATTTATATTGATTGCAAACGCCTGACGGATTTTACTTTCTCATCTATCTTGAAAGAAATCTTAACTATTTCAATAATCTTTGTAAATAGCTAGACATAGACCAATCGATGGAAGCAAATATCAACGATCCAACACGAAAATCGCTTCAGACACGATATCAGATGGTGGTATTTGAGCCGTTTGTCGTACTGTTATTCGCAATTATCTCGGTCCGTGGCTCGTGGCACGCGTCCGGTCGAGGGGGTCTGCGAGAAGACGACCTTCTCTTCTCTTTCCGTCTAGCAGGAGCGACAGAATCGCGTCCTGGCCAAGGGTGGAGCAGGGTTCGATGGTCCGAAGCGCCCGCATTTTGCGCGTCACACGCGTCGCTGCTCGACTAGATTGTTTGCAGAGGCTCTCAAACGCGTATACCGTCCACGAAAAACAAACACGTGCGACCAACTGGTGCAAGATAAGCCGCTTTGCGTTATGCAGATTTCTGCCGCGAATTCAGGATCGCGCGAACAGTCTTGGCATCTTCTCGCAGCGGCTACGTTAAATTAACGACTCTAACCTCATGTTATTAGCCGATGTGCTTCCGTTTTCTATTTGTAATTTTTATATCGTATGTAATTTTTTACTACAGATAAATACGAACAAATGTCAAGCAAAGATCAATATAATATTATCTGAAATAAGTTGATCAACGATACAGATTCAAAGAGACTATTTTTGATTATTTTTTCTTCTTGCAATTATATGTTTGCATTTAATTAAAATTAGTTGATGCGTATCTAGGATTTTGATTTACAATACAATGAACGATTTGTTTCAAACGCGGCCGATTCTTCGTAGCGATTATGCTATCCAGAGAATCATTTTCCGACTAATTTGCTCCTGCCCTCGCATAGTCGGAAAAAAGAGAGCACGCAAGGAGAACCTGCTTCGAGCAGACTACGGTGATATATTACAGGACTCGGGATTTGTATGGAGCGAAGTGTGTAACTCGGGCTTAACATTAATGCTGCGCGATCAATCATACCGCTCATAAGGAAGGTAACATTGTGCTTGGCATTGCTGTTATATTACGTCTATAAACTATTTTGCAATATATTTAGTCATAATACGCTTCTTTACATCACTTTGTTCATTGTATTATGAAAAATTATGATTCTCATTTCACTATTGGAGCATATAAATATTACTGCTAGAAGAACTATAGAAAAACTGTTATTTTACGTTTTCAGAAATGTATCTTATAACGGTAAATTTTATAAAACTATTATTTTTTAATCGGATAATTTACAGAAAATAAAATCGAGTTTAATGCCCTTTTGCCTTGCCAAGCGAACAAATTCGTATTTTAAATGTCTGGTATGTTTGATCTTTTTCGTCGGAAACTATCATCGCTCGAATACTTCCCATGATACGGCGTTTTTCGCATTCCGTGACGAACCGATTTACGCATTCCACGACGAACTATCGATATCAATTTAAATTCCTCCGCGTGATGCTGCAGCCCGATGCTGCCGCGCCAAAGCTTCGCGAAATATCGCTACCCCTATATCGCACAGTGTACCCACCCTCTGCAGCTGGGTTCCGCTCCCTATTTACTGTTTCCCCTCTACCCTACTAAGGAAAAATCATGTAGAAATGGCTCTTAATTACACCAATCCCATTGAAATTCGCCACCTCGAGTGCCACGTGCAAACTTATGCGAGCAATAACGTCGCAGTTTTTTTATACTGATAGCCATACGAATTTGGAAGATTTTTTTTTAATTACAGTTATGTAGAAAATTATACCTATTGCACAAGTTATTCCCAGAATTATTGTATCATTTGTTATTTTATATGATGATTTTATAATTATTTCGCTGTATAAACTCTAAACAATTGTAAAATCTATGAACAAAGAGAAAATCATCCAATCTAATATCAAGTTATGTAAACGATAAAAATACCAGAGGGCAGAAACAGATTACGCGAAATCCTGCGGACAATATTCGGCACGCATATATGGCTATGTGACCTAGAAAGAGTTACATTCAAGCGCATAGCTCTTCAGTTTCTTTTCAAACAGCTGGAATTTCGATTTGTCACAGATCTCTCGTGCTTGTACAAGTTTTGTGAGTCGTAGTAAATGGAGTATAAGTTTTTGAACAGAATTAGATTGCAATGTTTCAATATCGGACATATGTGATTTGAATATATTTGTACAGATGCGATTATCATAGAAATTTGTCATTCAACCTATTACTAACAAATACGAATCGATTAACGATATCCTGTCATTATCGATATATATGTGCAACTTTATGACTAATAAAAAATTGTTTTAATAAAAAATTAAATATATAACATTCGTATTGTTTAAATCAATTTATATATTTAAAGTCTCTACTTCTCTATATCATATTTCTTTTATTTCAGAGAATATTTCAGAACTATTATTGTCGCTGCAAGTACATTTTTATTCTTAATATGTTCATTTGAATATCTAGATCGCATTGTTTTATCAGTCATACTTCTATTGTGGAATTTTATTAACTTTTTTTCGCGATCATCGTTTTCGTTACCGTTATCGTCACCCTTCAACATATTTTTGATATATTTGATCTTCTAAAAAAAAAACGACTTTTGCATCGATACACATCAGTCGATAGGACGTTTTCCTGTAGCCAAGTGTAGATATCCTCTCCCTTCCCTAACCCGATATGCGAAGGGTACCCGAATCTTGCGGCATATAATCTAATAACGAGTTTTTGTCAGCACATATCGTGCACGCGCCCTTCGATATCGAAGGGATGATCACGCGGCCCTCGCTTCCTTTTACATGGACTGCAGACAAACGGGATTCCTGGCCTCAGTTTAGTTAGGTCTGCTCCATTGTGCATTACCATCCATTCAAGCTGGTAATCGAATCCTACCGAGATAGCGAACTTTCGCACGCCGTAGGAGATTTGCGGTTGACTTTTGGTATTTAACCGAGCCTCTATATTGATAACCAGTCACTTCGATAAGTCGACATTGTTAATACAAAATTTCCGCAAACTGATACTCTAAAGAACTCGAAGGATAATTTACTTATATCTTGAAGAATTTATAAAGAATTAGCGAAATTAACAAGAAAATTTAAACCGGAAGAACTAAAGAGAATTTGATGTGTTTTCATACAGACAAATAATATATACAAAAATTCATAATTATATATGTATACTTTGTTAACGAGATTTGCTGTTTTATATATTTATTAAAATTTTATTAAAGCATTTGTGTGACAAAATCTAGTTGATAACTGATCATCAAATGTGAAAGAAATAATCTTACTTCACGTACTGATATATTTTTGAAAATAATTTATACAGAAGTGTAAAAAAACGTACGAAGCAGCTTTTTCTAAAAAATATCTTATTATTTCCGATAATATAAAATGTGGCACGAATGAGTACGGAATTATCTATAGTTATCGCATGTGTCTCTGTGTCTATTTATTACAAACACGACGTCAATGTGTCTATTTCGAGGGTTGGCCGATAGCCGTCGGGTTTCATTGCCGGTGTCTGTCGCTACCTTATCTTCGCCCCTGCGAGCGTATGCTAAATTGAATATGAAATTATGTGGCTTATCGCCCTAGGGGATAGGGACGTGCGATAGCAATGGTGTTAAAATGCTCTTTTTGATAGGGGTGCTTGCACTTTTGCAGTATTTTTTGTCTACTACCTCAGCAACGTTGTGCATTTTGCGTTGACACGAGCTTTAATAATTTTGAAACACGAATTTTATTGTAAGGGTACTCAAAAAAGCAAAGTTACTTTAATTCAATTTTCTATTATTTTTAAAACGTTTAAAATTATGCGGAATTAAATAATCAGAATATATAGCTTCTTGGAATATAAATAAAATAATAATAAAATTATTTTGAAAGTTATAAAAGTAGAGAAAACGAAAAGGTTTTTCGGTAATAAGAGTCACGAAGAGACGAACGGCTATTTGATACATAAATATTTATCCTTACTAGAACAGACATATGTTTATGTCTGTTTTTCTGTAACGAATATCTGTTTTTCTGTAACGATCGCTAAATGTTTCGAAACATTTCAAGACGTTTTAATTAGATGAAGAGCCTTTCCGATACAAACATTTGACAAACCGTGTGCGAAATATTCTGTATTATATGACAAAAGTATAACTTGAGTTTGCAAAGAAATACGAGAATGGTTATTTTTCGATAATGATATTTCTCTATTCTCAAAAATTTAAACGTTCTGTTTTTCTGTTGTTTTTTCCAAAATTTAATAATTAGACTTTCCACAATAATTGTAACGGGTGTTCTCTTTGGAGTATATACATCCCGCTGATATTTTACTTGATTTTCTATTAAGAATCTAACACAAATTGGAATAGAAGTAATTCATATATTTATCCATAATCTGATTTTTATTAGCTCATTTCTCATTATTAAAAAAATTATATATTTAGCTTAATTGTTAATTATATATTTGTTATTATGTAACTTTTAAGATTATGTACTATAAATTTGCAATTATTTACAAAATCATACAAATTTTACTAACAGTCACGCTTACAGATATGATTGACAGATTAAAAGTTGTTTGATTAAAACTTTATTAGTTGTTCTAATATATTGAGAAAATGTAAAGTGTTTGAGTATTCTTACCGGTTTTTACTTGATACTTCAAGGTTGTGGAGCAATCCAGTAAAAGCTGTTGAAGAGTTAATCCGGTATCAGGAATTTCTAGATCGAGCAAACGCATCATATCGTCAGGATGATGAAAATCAAGGATCTTCGCATTTCTATCATTCGTTGATTTGACGAAGTCTAGCAGCAGGTCCACCACCTTCATCAAGAACTCTCTAGTTGCCGGATAGCCTTCCGCATTATGCGGCAGAATATCTGTGAACAAAATAAAAGATTGCAAGCGAGATTCTTTGTTCTCGTTTATTATGTTAAATAACAGTTAAGTGATTTACGACAACCATCAATGTAGAAACATCAATGTAATGAGCATTAATACAACACGATCATGCATAGATTTTATTTAAAAGGCATCGTAAATAATTTTCCCAATGTTTTCGAAACAAATTATATATATATATATATATATATATATATATATTTTATTATATAATATTATATTATATATACTAATTTTAGTATTTATTCATTATACGAGTATCACTTCTAATTTCTTTTTGCTTGAAAATACAGCGATTTAACCTATTTATTGAATAAAATAATTAAATTTAGTGTCATATATATATATATTTTTTTTAAGTAGCGCCTGTATAATGAATAAGTACCATATTCTTTTTATTAAACTTGCATCTTTGTCATAAATTTATAAAAATAAAATCGGATAATAATAATAATTTATGTGCAGTACAATGCAATGACTACGATAACTCTCTAATTGTTGGGATCAAGTGAAATCTCTTCTACCATAGCGATTAATACCGCACTGACAAGATTCTTCTCGGCTGTCACTTCATTGTTCGACCTACCATCATGACTTTGATAGCATCCTCGCAGATAACGCGCGATTAGAATGATTTCACCTCATCAAACAATTGAAAGTATAAACCTATATTGACACACTCTCACTTGTTTGGTGGGATGACACCATCTTATGCACATTCTTCTTTCTCTTCCTTTCTGTTCATAGCGAATCCTTTCTGATATCTTAACACTATGTCCGTCTTTACAATAGCGTGCAATTATCATTACGCTATAAAAACCATGCAAAATGCAATTATTCTATAAGCAATGAACATAATTTCCAACTTGAGCTTTACATAATTAATATTAGAAATTAATAATAAAATAAACGATAAAACTCTAAAAATTGTCTTTATACTGAATTTACTACTAAGTTTATAAGTAAATAATAAAAGTTATATAAATATCAAAATATATAGTTTTCGCATAAAATTTTACATGCTATTTATATAAAATATCAGAACTGTTTTCGCAATTGCGAGCAAAGCACGATAAGACATATTACAATGTACCCTATTAATATACATATATATGCTAGTTAGATCATTGAATCGTACAGATTCAATGAAGACAGAACGAAGTCGTTGCAGTGGAACATTTCAATGCGCTCGTGGTAAATCCTGGGTAAATTGAACTGTCCTTCTATCGTGGCGCAACCATAAAATATCCCATGAAGTAAACCATCCCCTCGTTTCCCATTGCATTAAGGTGATCCCATGGATAAACAGCCAAGCTACTATGGGACTTTGCTTTCAAATTATTATTTAGCATTTTAAGACAGTGGTGTGTACGAATGAAATTTCTTAAGAAGATATAACATTATCCTTATTTTTAATTCTCTTAATATTGTAAAAACATAATATATTTTATTATTTTTAACTATATACTGATAACACCATACAGAAGAATTGTCAGAATTTTACAAGTTTTATAACACGCTACTGTGTGCTTCATTAGTTTAACATAAATATAAATAATAATTTTATTAAATCTTTACAATAATAAAGATTAATCTGAGCTCGGGCTAATATTTGAGCAAAAATATTTGCTGGAGATGAAAATTTTAGCTCCTTGACCGATAATAATTCTTTTGAAATGCTTCGCTCTTCGATCGATAAGAATATTTTTTTCAATAATCAAGAATGTTGAATAAAAGCCGACTAAAGAAAGGAGGGCGCAACGAAAACTTATGGTGAATTGCCTTGAGCCTATGGTTAGACAAGGGAAATCCCCGGCTTCCAGCGGTCGGATCCAGCTAATCCAGCTCCATCAATCTAATGTCCAAAGACCTCCGCCTTTTTCTCAAGGTTTATAGCACTTTTCGAGATACAAATAAGCCCGTAGCAGTCTCTCAAGATTTCGTTACATTATAAGTACCATCTAATTGGCGTCTGTTCTACTTACTAATTAGTATTTTTCATAATAATAGAGTAGATACTACGCGCATAAATATTTCTATTTAAATAAATGCGATATTATTTTTGCGAGATTATTTCATTCGTATTCTAATTCTATAATAATTCTTATAAGTGATATCTCGTTGATTTTCTCAAGTTTATCATTAAGTTCGGTAGTCGATATATCCATCGTGTGCATAGTCATTTGATACCAGATGTGTTTAGACCCTCGCGTTTCGACTTTAATCAAAACGCCTTCTGAGGGTTGTTACACGTGGCAATTAGTCACGCCGATTTATAAGCCGGATTACGGCTTTAATTTATAGTAATACTACAGATTTCGCGTTACGACGTAATTCACTTACGTCCTCAAGGGGAAATTCTCGTTTTTGCGCGAGATTTAATAGTTGTTCAAAATAAAAATCCTTCTTTGAAGCACGAATCCGTTCAAATATTCACAATTCTACGAGCGGCACGCGCGTGTCGTTATCGCCCGCTAACACTTCCCGAACGACGAGGATGACAAACCCTTCCGTCTCCCTGCGGCGTGTAATCTGTCCTCAGCCACTCGGCACCTACCAACCTCTTTGGAATAATTCTAAATCCTCTATTATTATGCACCCTTCCGACCGACGGGCTTCACGAAATCAGGACAATATTGTGACTCTCGGATTTTGCTCTCAAAAAGCCAAGTCTGCGCTTGTGTAATATAGAATATATCGATGTGATTTATTCTCTCTAAACCAATCTTTTCACGCCAATTTTAAGTGTCCGAATAATGCTGAATTAGAATTACTGTCGTTAGAATCGTAGTTTAATCGAGAGCATGAATGAGTAAAGCGGCGATCATGCACCATACGTTTGTTAGTTGTTCGCGATATTTATCTTTATACCAAACTCATGCAATGTTCTAATAAATATTAACTGAAAACGCTTTCTGTCAATTGCCACTTACCGGAGTACTTCAGGTTGCAATGCTCTTTAGAGAGCGAATAAGTGTTTTCGGAGCTCATTAGTCTGGTAGGCGAATGCGTTCGTGCGAAATTCTGAAATTCAAAGCACAACGAAGATCTCTCTTCTTAAAATACACTTTGCACTTACGTGATGTTTATTTAATTAGATTAATTTTCAGAAAATATTAAAAATGAATTTTTTAGTTAGAATTTTTATTAATCGAACCAACTTAAATTTAATCTGCTTATATAAACTAACCATATTAATTATTACAAGTATCGGCAATCGCTTGCTGGAAACCAAGAAATTAACACGGTTAGCCTAAGAATTCCCAGTTGTAGTTACGATTGAAATCAGCGAGACAGATCGTGTCGACAATGTCCACCAATACTATGCTCGTCGATCGGTGACCGGTTCTTTATACAGCCGTTCATCGATGTAAACATTGGGTATACGACTTCCACGTACTATTATGGAAATTTCGGTTTGCGATTTGAATGTAACGTATTTGCAAAATGAGAAATTATTTCTTTTGTAAACTCAAATCGACTTGACCAATTAAATATAAAACAGGAACACAGTCAGTATGTTACCGAAGCATTACTTATATTATTATATTAATTAAATAGAAATATTTAAAGACACTGTCGACGTCGATCTCACTAAATGAGCAGACGTAATGAATGATGTGCAATGTGGATGCCTTACATATAAGTATTCCTTGATCGCTGTGATTTTAGTGCCGATCATTTGCACATTGTCCATGTCTCTGCTTGTGTCCCTCGCCTCAACAGTTCCTACAACAATCAACAATAGGTTTCGCTTCAGTCACGACGTACTGCGGCGTCGAGTCATCGGCGAGTCTCAGCGTGATTGCGAAATCGTTTAAGCGAGAATCGCCGTGGTAACCGCGATAGGCTGAGCGACCGAAGAAACATGGACAGAGAGCAATTTGTGATCTTTATTTTTTTTTAATTATTTCCTAGAACACAAAGCTTTAGCACTTTCATGACCATGGCGAAGAACATATTGCAAGTTCCAAGCTAATCAATCCACAATTTATTTATTTATTCTTTTTTAGATGGAACATATATGTTTTCAAAGCGAAAATAATAGTAACATTTATTGATAGCTTAAGATTAGGTCTCTGAAGCTGTATATAAGTAACACATAAAGAAACCAATATTAAAAAATTTAAATAATTGATACAAAAAAGCTAATAAAAGAAAAAAAAACAATTAAAAAAAAGTAATATATAAAAAATTATAAAGAAATAAAAGTTATAAATTTATTAAACAATTAGATTTTTATTTCATCGATTACAATTGGCAAATAATCATCGTGACAATTCGATTAACGTCTTGACGATTAATCGTACCAAAACCAATGGTCGAATCGTCACGATGATTATTTGCCAATTGTAGTCGATGAAATAAAAGTCTAATTGTTTATTATATTGTTGGCGAATTACGAATGTACTTTTGGTTATAAATTTATTGTTAAAATAAAGAATAAAATTAATATAATATATAGAAAAGAAAAAATAAAAGAAATAATAAAATAAAATAATTAGGCATAAGAATAACTTACACACATTATAATATAAGAATAAGCAGTTTCATTAAAGCATGTATAGAAGATAGCTTAAAAAACTGTCTTTGAATACGTTAAGAGTCGTGCTTTGACGTATCGTCTACGAAAATAAATTTTAGAGGAAAATAATTGTTTAAAAAAAAAAATTTTAATAAGTAAAGATACGCGATACTGAGAGGGCACAGGATCATCATGCTCAATCATGTACTATCGAAGATAGAGTTAAAGTAAGTAAGATAAACTCGCGAAATGTGTAAAATTGCAAACAGAGTTTATTGAATTTATTATTGAACACAAACAATTAAACCGACAAACTCTGTCTCTTTATAGTAATAGTATAGATTATAAAACTATATAAAATCGTAGAATGGACGAACTCGGATCATCAATCGCACTTTGTGTTCTAAGTTTACTTATAAGACAACCTTCTTGAATTTCTCAAGCAATCAGATCGCTTTGCTCTCTGAATCAATAGAGCGGTCCTGGAAGCGTGAGAAATAAGCTGAAAAAGATCCGAAAGACATCCACCGATTCCTCTATAAAACATTAAAACGTGCAATAGAAGAAAATGTAAAGAAGAGATTAGAATGTCTATGAAACATGCATGATTAATGAATGCATTAGGAGAAAGAACATATCATGTAAAATATTAAGATATGTTGTAATTATTTATTTTTTTGCATCAATATGTTGAATCTGTTTTACATTAAAATAAAGAAACACGCGTGCATAATTTATATTAAATTTTCGAAAAGTTTAAGAAATAGATAAATTTCTTTTGTTATAAAACAGAGTTTTAAGTTAATAATTTTAAAATTATCATATTGTAATTGGCTGTACTTTATTTCGAATTTTAACTTTTCCTTTAGTTTTCTTGTCAAGATCAATTTTTAAAAGGTTATATTATTTTATCAATATTATTTTATTTCGCATTTTAATTTTTTTTACAATCTTCTTTTATGGCATTTCTAGATTTAATTTAGTTTTCATTTTTTGAAATTTGTGAGATTTTTTATAAATCCAATAGCTAAAAATATGTTCTTACACAGAAAAAAAGGTCATCGCATTATAATAAGTATTTGAGAGATTGTAAATTATAAAGCCGTGAGTTGTTATTTAAAAAATTAAATAGAACTGTACAATTAAACATTTTAAACTATGTATTAAAAATAAGCTAATTAAAAATTAAGAAAAATAGAAATCATGTCTGTATTAAATATTGAGAGATTCAACTTTGATAATATCATGTCTATAAAAATCGCATTATAAACTTATAACACAGTAATTTAACATAATTTTAAAACTGTACTAATAATTTAGCTTTATATCTAAATATAAAAATTTTCTTATTTTAAAATAAGAAATTCTATTTTTTTCTACTTTTTTATTGGATTTATTGTTTATTATTAAAAAATTTCTTTCATTAATAGTAAATTTATTTAAATTATAATATTTAAATTTTATTGACAACTGACTAACTTGTTGCTATTTCAATCATTTCTTTAAGAAATGTACTGTTTTTTAAGACATGTACTGTTTAAACATTTTTTATATCTTTAAATTTCAACTTATCGTTATATTTTTATTAAAAAACACACACATAGAATAATACATTGTCAAATTTTCAAACATTCCTCGATAATTTTATAACATACATTGTACCAAAAATTAATTGCCATCTAGTAAAAAGAAATTATCTACCTTCTGATACAATCTTTATCTCGTACTCACCTAATCCTTTCTTCTTCGTCGGATTTTCGGATGTGGCCGGATGGCTTGTTGGTCTCAACGGGGACTAGATTTTGCCTCAGAACGAGCGTAGGTTTTAAGGGTGGAATGCCGACGGAGTGGCGAAGCGACGGGCTTCAGGGTGGTTTCCAAGGGACTGCTTCGTACCGAAAACGCCTGGACGACTCTCGAGCTTCGGCCTGACTCGGCCTGCCTCGAGTCTGCCTGACCCAGTTTCGTCTCGCGCAACCTACGCAGCCACCCTCCCCGATCGGGGGTGCTTTTGCGTAGGCGTGGCCGTGTCCAGTCGCGACTGGTGGGAGTTGAAGGGTGAAACATAGTGGTGGGTGCCAGGGCGTGTCGCCATCCCACCAATCCCGAAGCGAACGTCACTTTTGACGTCAGCGGGAAGAAGAGAGTAAAGGAAAGCAAGTATGCCAATTTCTCTTCTTGCTCGCTTTTTTTTACATTTCCAGACTTCTTTTTGTTTATCCTTGCCGCGTGCGGTTTCCGTCGCGGAACTATCCGCTACCAACACTTTTATATATTATTCAATTCGCTACCTTAGGCCGTTGAGACGAAGAGGCGCTCCGAAAACAAGAATCTCAATTTCTCGAGACCTCCGGTGATAAAGGATGGAGGTAGATTGAAGTTTAAGACGGTTCTGAAGGATGATAGTACGTTCATAAATTTCCAAGTCCTCCAACAGATGTAAGTCAATTATGTCATATGCCTTTTACATCTTTGCTCTTCAAGATGCTCGATAAAATATTAAATGTAGAAAACATGTAGTTTCCAGTGTTCAAATAGTGTTTAAACTTTAGCTCATTTATGATCTTAAAAATAAAATTATATACACAAATAATTAAACTCATTAAACAATCTACTGCATAAAATAATAGTACTACTTGTAGCTTTTTGAGAAAAAGCAAAAAAAAAAGAATAATCATCAAAAGAAGATAAAACTAAAGAAAAATAATATTACCAAATAATATAAAATAATTTTATCAGAGAAGCAATTGTCTCTTTTCTTTCAGTCTTTTAAAATTTTTTTCATATTAACTAGGGATTAACTACAAGTAAAATCAGACAATAAATGGGTCACTTTATAGTTTTATAGTTTTCTTCTAAACTAAAATAGTGATCAACGTGTCATCGATTCACCAATCAGAAGACAATGTTGAAATGTTAAGTTTATATCTGCAAGGTACATCTAGAACAGAAACGGAACGCTCATTAGGATGCGAAACGAGTTACTATAGAAGAATCTAATTGCTGATGGTCCGATTTCTTCCGTGGAAAATGTCGCGACGCCTGCGTCGTCTTCCATCGACAACGAGGGTGGATCGGGGCTGAAGAACGTGAACAGGTAGGTAAACAGAGACAACTATACTAGAAGAGGAAGAAACGATTATGGTTACACCGAAGGGGCTGGGGGTGGAAAGGACAAAATGGACGTCAACCAATAGAACGCCGGGACAAAATGGCCGTCGGTGAATTTAATCAATACCGTCCTCCGTCCTTCGTTGTAGGTGGAGGACAGGACGAGACCCAGAAAGGGCCAGGATCGTAGCTAGTACACCGCGCGTACCTCTCTCATTGACGTCGGTATATTTTGCGTGTAGGCGTGTAAATCCTCAATGTGTGTAACTGATGTAACACGACCCACGAGAACTTACTATTCCTGCAATGCCGTGTCAATGTTTCGAGTTGTGAACGACGGACAAAATTGAAATCGAGACTTGTACGAGTATCGAAACAAATTGTTCTGTGTAACATTTTTCTATTGGAGGATATGTAAAATGTATGTGAAAAATCCATTGTTACATGTAAAATTTTATATTAATATTTTATTTTGATCGTTTTGTAATAATTGCACTGTACCGATAATTTTTTTCGTTTGAAATAATACGATATGAATGTAGATATAACGATAAAACACGTATTACCACTAAATGTAATTACTATAAATCTGAATTAAGTAACGTAATTAAATGATGGCTTGTCCTAAATTAATTCTAATAATAATTATAATAATGAATTTACTCCATTAGTTTTTATAATTTAAGTTTATTAAAATGAAACTTTTTAATCTTCTAAACTCTTTAAAAAATAAATAATTCAACTAAAGTCCAATATGTCCAATTTAACAGATTGCATTACCGCGTCCGATTGTAATACTTATAAAATTAATCCTACTGAACTGTGACATTATCATTATTAAATCGAATTTCAATTAAATAGCCGTGTATATGAATTCTCACCAGCCGTTGATGGAAGACAGTGCTTATGTCCTGAAACAATGCTGTTGCTCATCGACTCGGTTGTCATTACGTATCAGCAAGAACGGGCATTATCGTCGCGTGAAAAGCTTTAGCACGAAGTTCCTACGAGCAGCAACTATCAACTCGAGGTGACTGTTTTAAGAGAGGATCCAAGTTATTTTACTATGGTTGGCAGGGAGAGGAGTAGGTCGCCGATTTAATGGAACCACGCAATCGGACAGCATCGATCCCAGCATCCACCATCCGCTCTTAGAAGAGAGCAGCCGCACGAGCAACTCCAGGCCACGAAGATACTGACGATCTTCCTTCCCGTTCTTCATCTTTTGGGAAACTTTAAATTGAATTGACATTCCGTGTAGCGTTCGGAAAAGGATTTGTCTAAACACATACCTATTACCATTAAAAACTTGTCGACATTATTTTACTATGGTATTTCTACGTTATTTTCCTTTTATTTCTTCTGTAAAGCGATATTAATTGTAATAATATATTTTTATTATTAATATATTTTTGATACTTGAGAGTAAATAAATTTTGGTAGGTATTTTTATTAGGTTTTAGAAAATATGTTCCAGTACTTACTTGATATAATTAATTATCGGTGTTTATACATCAAGTACCAGGATTTATTTCCTGTCAAAAATTAAATTGTTATTTTATGATTAATTACCGCTTACATAACTTTTTGCATTTTTTATATATAAATTTTAGGATATATAACACAATTGCATGTCACGCATTTAATTTTATAATTATTTACTTATAAATTTGCAAA